TGCACCTGCTTGTGGGTTCAAGCTGTAAGGAGACAAGAGCACGGGGTGACACTCCAGGAGCTGCTGTCACCAGGGCTGCCTGCACCGTGGCAGTGTCCCCTTGCAGGCAGCCCAGAGCAGGCTCTGCAGCACGTCCCGTCCCCAGGGCTGCGGGACGGCTGGGCAGGGGGGATCCAGCTGCAGAACATGTGTTGGCATCTGCAGTCCCCCCGCAGCAGCCCTGCGAGCGATGCTGCAGAAGGCAGTACAGGACTTGGCAAGGCAGGGGAGATGCTGGGAGCTGCGTTCCCCATCTGCCCCCTGCCAGAGTCTCCTCCGGCTGAAGGTCTGCGTGCCGGAGAGCCGGTGGTGGGTCCCAGCCTGGCCGGAGCCCCACCAGAGAGGAAGAAAGTGTTATGAATAACACGCCTGACCTCACTAACTAGGCTACAAATTGCTGCCAGGGGAGTTTTGTTGAGTCACGCGGAAGAGGCTGTGGCAGTGAGTGATAATGGAAAGCAGCAGCGGAACAGCCCTGCGAGTGGGAGGGACAGGTGGGCTGGTGGCCCAGAGGTGGCACATGGGGACGAGCCACTGCCACCAGCCTCCTGTCCCATCCCGATGCCGCGTTAGCTAGGAGCACGTTAAAGCCACCCTGGCACGGGGAGCCAGGCGACGGTAAGAGGACGGTGGTTTCTGAGATCAGCCTCATTTGGGAACGCAGATTGCAGCAGCATCAGTAAAAAAAAATAAAAGAAACGATACCTTCAGCAGCCGTTCTGCTGCGGTCTGCGCACCAGAGTGGACTTACTCTTCTGTCGGGTGAAACCCAGGGCAGGAGCTGCTGGGAGGAAGACAGCGTTCACTGCTCCGCTGGTTTCACGCCTAAAGCATGTTTTATCTTGCATTCCCTTATAATAGGGTCGGGGAGATTTAGGCTGACCTGTGCTCCGGCTAAACGCCGAGGATGAGGAGAGCTCTCGCTGCTCTGCTGGGCAGGGGCAGCTCGAGGAGCGATAGCTACCAGCCAGCGACCAGGAAATTCTTCAGCTCTTGAAGCAGATGAAACTCTGGCTCTCATCTCCATGGAGAGAAAGGGAAAATGGAGGGGGGGAAAAAAAAAAAAAAAAAAAAAAAAGAAGTCCTCTAATTCGAGTTAGTTGCAGACAAGGTAATTTCCACATGAGTTAGCAGAACAGCTAGTTGGAAAGTTTTGATAAAATCTATTTTTCTTTGAAAATGCAGATCCAGTGAAATGTGAAGGCTTTCCACTGGAAAGAATGAGTTTTGATGGATTTCTCAACTAGTTCTCTAGAAAATTTGTAAACGGCCAGAATATTTTAACCACCACTGCTCTTTTTCAGACCAAAATTTATACTCCTGCTGCCTTACAGCTTGACATGAAAATACATCATTTTTGGCATTATCACTTTCTTTGTTTGAACTTCAGTAGTCTACAGATCTTTTACCCTCATTTCGGATCACGAAGAAGCTTGAGATGCCAAGACACCCCTGGGATAAGGAAACCATTTCCCCCAAGCTGCGGGAAGCTCAGGCTGAGGAGCAATGCCGGGCGGAGGACGTACCCCTCCTGTTAGCACCGCAGCCGGGTTTCTCTTGACCTGGTGGGTAGCTCGTGCTGGTTTCTGCTGACGCGAACGCGGTTCGCAGGGGCAGGGTCCGGCCAGCCTGGTCGCAGGTCCTCACCCTCTGTGCCAGCACGAGCCCCGGCCAAGCCAAAAGCACGCTGCGTTCCCCGTCACTGGGGGAAGGAGGCATTGCCCTCGGCGCTGACATGGCGTTCTGGTAGTACCCAGGAGACCACAGCCAGGAATCCTGCTTTTCTTTGAATCGGGAAAGCACACGCACATCGATAACAATAATAACCCAACACACCATTTCCCTGACTCGGTTTCCAGATATTCGCAACCCTTCTTTGGCCTCAGGGGTTCTCCAGGCTTTCGTGTTGTTCTGAGAGCTTCCCTCCCCTGGGCTCTGGCAGCACCCCGTCCCTTAGCAGGGCCAGCAGCTCTCTTCCACCCCTTTCCCCCTAAGCTTTACGTGTCTTTGGGAGCCTTCCCTGCAGGGTGAAACCAGTACCAGCATCCTTTCTCCTATTGTTAGCACATGCTTTAGCAGATGCTCTAATCCCCGGAGAAAACATCAGGCATCACCCCAAGCACCATCATCCCAACCACCAGCAGGGTCGTGACAGGATGACAAGCTGTCAGGTCCCAGCCACGCAGGGACATGACACAGCCTGTGTTGGCCGCGCCTGGCACCGACGCGGTACACGGCATCCCCGCCGGTCCAGCCCTCCGCAAGCCTTAACGCGAGGAGGACGCTGGTGGGAGTCGGTGAAGAAAGAGCAGGACATCTCACGGTGACACACATGGAAAGTACAGCCCGGGAGGGGGTTTAAATGAGGAACAGAGGCCACACAAAATGTACCAGAAACACCCACCGAAGGCAACAGCAGCATTTTGGGCTCCGGTCAGGCAGCCCCGAAGAACGTCCCTGTAATGTCACCAAGGGCCCAGGATGGGGAAGGAGGCTGGCACAGCGTTAGGGACGGGTCGAAGCCGGGCTGAGCTCACCCACCTGCTATCACCGCGCTTCGCGGGCACGCAGGAAAGTGCGTCCCTGCCCCAGGGAGCTCGGGTGCCCCCGAGGACAGGGGACCCTGCTGCGGTGAAGTGCAGAAGTGACCAAGGGGGCACGGTGGCTTCTGGCACACCGTGCTTCGCGCACATTAGCTGGGGACCACGCTGGAGCAGGGGACAGAGCCAGGGAGCGCTGGGTTGGGAGAGGACGAGGGCTTGTGGTGGGAGCGTGGCTGGCACGCACCGGGATTTTGGTGAAGGAGAGGGAGCCGGAGCGAAAAGGGGAAGGGTGCGTGTGGGAGCAGGAGATCCAGCAAACAGCTGCCCTCAAGCGGGACGCTGGGTCTTCACCACGGGCACAGGCTGCCTGCCCACCCCACAGGTCCCTGCAGGGTGGTGGCACACAGTGCCAGGCTCCCCTGCGATGCCCCGGGCACTGGCCGGTCGCTCGCTGTGACGAGGCGCAGAGTGTGAGCCCAAAGGGAAACTGAGGCAGGGATGGAAACACGGGGCCATCAAAGGCACTGGGGGTCCCTTGGGAGCTGGGTGCCCATCAAAGGCCAGGAAGCTGCAGCCCCAGCAGCAACGTGGCAGCATGGGGAAGGCATATGTTTTGCAGCAAAAATGCCCTTTGCTTCACAGTAAAACCACGATAAGCTTGAAAGGAAAAAAAAAAAAAAGTTAAGTAACTGGGATTTTAAGTGACTTCCAAGCCCTCCTGCTCTCACATCCTCTAACCCAACAGGTATGTGGGCAAGTAGGTGGCCTGGGCCAGCTGGGGACTTTCAAGGTGAAACCAGAGAGATGTGAAACACCCGAGGTTTTATTGCAGCCTGATTTTTATGCTCCCCCAGAGCTGGCCCCAGCCCTTCAGGTGCTCAGGGGCACCTGGCTGCTGTCACGGGGGTGCAGCACCACCCTGTCCTGGGGAGCTGGACGTGTTGCACCAGGGCAGACGGCCGGTCATTGTGCGCAGACCAGGAGCATTGCGCCCATCACGCCAGGACAGCAGCCGTCCCGTGCGGCCAGTGTGGCTTCTTAGCACCTTCTCCTGCCGCCCTCCCTTGCTGGGGTCCTAGCCCCCCCAAATTAAACATTGGCTGCGAGCGCACAGATGCTCAGAGGATGCCAGACACACCAAGGACCACGGCTCCACCAGCACTTACCCCCTGTGATGGAGACCAAGCTGCCCCTTCCACCGCAGACTCAGGAGTCCAGGTGCTGGGGGTGGAACATTTTGCACCCACCTGACAGAGCCCGTGACCCAGCATCACCCGGGGACAGCACACACTGGGCTTTCCCCCCTCATTCTTGCCATCTCAACGGGTGAGGACAGGGCAAATTTCCTGCCTGCACCCACAGCAGCGCCCGGGGGCGGTTTGAGCCCAACACCCCCCTTCGGATGACCGGCCGTTTTTGAGGTGGGATCCTGCAGAACCCCCTCCCGCCCCAGCTCTGCGACCCACCGCTGCCAGAGCCACCGGCCCCCCCGCCCCCTGCCGCTGCCCACTCCTCCAGCACCAGGCTGGGAATGCTTGGGGGAGCAGGAGCAGGTGAGCAGCCATTTAACCGAGCTGTTAAACCTGCTTAACAGGGAAATGGTGACAGCTGGGAGAGCTGGGAAACACGCAGGTGGCACCACTGGAGACAACTCCCGTCCCACCAC